CCCATGACCTGGGCTGCAGTACCCACCGCTAGCCAGCCCATCCGCACTGTAGCAGCCAGGCACCGGACTCCTGCACCCACTTTTGATTGTTGAAGGAATAAATAAACCACATGCCCTGGAAGTGCCCTCCCAGAGGCCCTCCCAGCTCTGCTCCTCGGGGTCTCCACCAAGACAGAACCTGAGTTGAGGACATTACATCAGCAGGTACAGGTCTAACCCGTGCTATGCAGGCCGCTGGCTGCATAAATCTCACAGAAGCCCCTCATCAGTAGCCTCCTCCCCCACGCCCATGGGAGACCTTGTTGGTATGAGATCCAATGTGGAGGACTCAGGGAAACCCGCAGATAATGAAAAATGACTTCTGCAAGGGGACGCAGACATACTCCACAGGGTGCTGGAATGGAGTGTGGGGACAAGGACAGTGCAGTGGTGCAGCTGGCCCCAGGCAGTGGAGCTGGGGTCTCCATCCAGAAACGGCAGGCCCAGGCCTCCTGCCAAACTCACGTGTAACCAAGGCCTGGTTGCCGTTGATGAAGATACAGGTGAATGAACACATTCTCATTTCCACGCAATGGGTCTGACCCCAGCAAAATGATAAAGACATAAGTCAGAACTTGACCCACTCATCCGTGATGGGAACGACTTGGCTGCAGAATCAGATATGTTTTTGGAAACTGGAAGAGCGATTGTTTAGGTTTTGTGCTTTCAAATCATAATGGCTACAGCGATGGCAGAACAGCTTTGCTGAAGTATAATCTACAAACAGGAAGGGGACAAGTTGAAAGCATACACTTTGAGAAGCCTTGATGTCCATACGTGGATACACAGGAGCCCATCGCCATCATCGACACGATGAACCTATCTGCCAACCCCACGTCTCCTTGTGTGGCTTTGAGTTTGTGGTCATTTCTACACAGAGGTAATGGGAGAATGTTCTATTCTCATTTCAATATCCATTCTTTTCTTCCTTCCTGAAAGAGTCTTGATTTTTTGATCAGGTTTTAATCCCCCCCAACATGATCCAGGAGAAAGGCACCCCAGAACCCTAGGGCCAAGTTTGAATCCTCATTAACCTAAGCAGGTAAGTGCATGATATTCTCTTGTTGACCAGGGCAGGCCTGTGACCCAAAGTGACCAGTCATACTCCACAACTTCTATTCCCTGGGTAGGAGGGAGGCTTTCCCCCTTTCCTGCAGAATGAACCCAGGGAGTAGGATCCCAATTGCCAGTAGAAGCTACCTTGGAACTATAGGAAAACTGGGATTAAGAAGGAGTCAGCTCTGAGCTCAGAGCAGAGATTGGAGCCCACCTCAGTGACCAATGACTACACAAAGTCCCTGATTATTTAGCACACAAGCCTGCCCATAGCAGACAGCATCCCAGATGGCTACTCGGGATTCCTGCCTCCTGCTCTCCATGCCAGTTAGACACCCTTCCCTTGAGYGTGAACAGCATCAGTGATTTGCTTCTAACCAACAGAACAGGGCCAGGGTGAGGTGGTGTCACTTCTGTGATTTGGTTCTACAAGGCAGGGACTTTTGTCTTCCAATGAAATGCATTGTCTCAATTGGCTTCTCAGCTGCCCACTCTGGGGAATCCAGGGGCCTTGTTGGAGAGGCTCTGAGGATGGCCTCCAGTCACCAACCAGAAAGCAATGAAGGCCCCCTCTCCAACAGCCCTCAAGGAACTGAACCCTGCAACAACCATGTTTAGAAATAGAGTGTCCCCCAGCTGGGCATTCAGATGAGACCCCAGCCCTGGACAGTAGTTTGATCACAGCCTGTGAGAGACCACCAGATGGTTACTGGGGCAACTATCCATCCTGTGCCAACACTCCCAACACAGGGACTGTGATGCCTATCACCGTCTATCCTATCCTCATCCCCATGGATAGGTGCCAGCAAGAACAGAGAAGAAGCTGCTCCTTCTGCCAGAGTGAGCCCCGGCTCACCCCAGACCCTGCTCAAGACGGGCAGACATTTTTGTTCCTGTCTGATTTTGCAACAATAGCAATCTCTTGTTCTCTGTTTCTCCAAATACTCAGGCAATGGAGAGGTGGGAGCTTGCTGGGAATCAGAAGAACATAGAAAAGCCCCCGGAGAAGCTGTTTTCCGCTGATCTAGTTTTGCAAAACAATATATCCCAAACAGTAACCTTTTTATTATAATTTACAATTTTACCAGTCAGGAATTCAGGAAGGGCTCATCAGATTATTCTTCTATCCCACGCARCATTGACAGCCTGGACTGAGTTGCCCTTTCCTCCCTATTGAGGAAGGGCAATCTCTGCTGTCCTTCTGGGTCTGGTCACCACCTCACTCCTCATCCTTTGGGCTGAGGACAGTCACAATTTCAGGGTCATGGCAGTCTCTCAGATATAACTGCCTACACATTTCTTTTCTTTTTTTTCCTTTCATGGTGCTGGGGATTGAAGCCAGGGCCTCAAGAATGCTAGGCTAGCACTTTACTATTGAGCTACATCCCCAACCTGCTACCTATACATTTCTTAAATCATCCTAATCAGAGGAGCTATTTGTTTCCTGGGAGACCTGACTGATACATCAAGGGCCTTTGCCATGGTACAAATCATAGCCAATATGTATTGAGCACTTACTATGTTCCAAGCACTGTCTAAAGCACCTCACCTCCACTTCATTAGCTCCAGTATAAGGTAGGCACAAAAGGGAAGGAGTCTGAGGGCCCCAATAACACCAGATTCTCGCCTCTATACAGGAGTCCATGTATAGAATGTATGAGATCCATGGCTAGGGAAGAAGATGGGGGGTTGGGAACTTGGGAAGGAAAATGGGATTCAGGAAGTGGGGCAAGGACAAGCCTGGGTTGACATCACCCCAGGGGTGCACCAGAGACCACACCTAACAGCACCTGCTCAGATTTCTGTAATCTTGGCAGTTGTCAGTAACAGGGTTGCCTTGGGGCCTCATCTGGTGTGCACCTGAGGAACTTGGGCTTCTCAGAGAAGGTGAGCAGTGAACTTCAGAAGGCCTCCGTGGTGACGTGATGAGAGCCTAGGGTTGGTTCCATGGGACCCACACTTTGAAGGGCCTGCTCTGTTGACTCGGGAGTGGAAGGAAATCTATTCCTGGAGAGGACAGACAGCACGCGGTTACTCGTAGTCTAGATCAGCCTAGAGGGCTTTCAAACCCATTCCAGGTGCGGTGGTTGGATACACCCCTTCTCTGGGGCACAAGGAGATCTAAGAGTGGCTTATAGGCTTGTCTTAGGAACAACAAAGGAATCATAATGGTGCCCACCTTATCTGGGCTCATCACTATTGCAGATGAGCACACTGAGGCTCTGGGAAGGGACTTGCCCAAGGCCACCCAGTTAGAAGGTCTTTGGGTTGGATATGAACGTGGGCSTGTCCTCAAAACCCATTTTCAAATGGGAAGCTACAGGCCTGTTGAGGGATATGGTGCAGGGAGGAGTAGACAAGCCAATGGCCCAGCCAGGGGTCTGAAGRGATCTGGGCTACAGAGGGGGCAGCGTTGTGGGCTTTCACAGTCAGGGTGGTCTCCTGGAGACCATGCTTTTTGTGCCTTTTTAAAAGAAAATAGTTTTATTGGGATACAATTTGCATACCATACAATTTACCCACTTAGAGCGTATAATTCAATGGTTTTTAGTGTAGCCACAGAGTTGTGCAACCAACACCACAATCAATTTCAGGACATTTTCATCACCTCCCCCCAAACAACCCTGTAACCATGAACAGTCATTCCTYACTTTCTCTTCTGCTCCCAGTTTCTTTGCAACCACCAGTGACTGTCTCTGTGAATCTGCCTGTTCTGAGTATTTGCTTAGTCAGTTTTCAAGGGTCATCCATGTTGTAACATGTTATCAGTGCTTCTTTCCTTAGGGATGGCCAAATAATATCCCCTGACATAACGGCACCACCCTGTGCTCACTGCTCACCAACCAAGGGACACTGTCACTTCCAGGCTTTGACTGCTGGGAACAATGCTGATATAAACACTCATGTGCAAGTTTCTGTGTAGAGGAGTTGTCATTTCTCTTGGGTATGGACCTGGGAGGGAGTCACTGGATCACAGGACAACTCTGTTTTGCCTTCTGAGGAACAACCAGACTGTCCCCAAACCTCAAGGGCTGCACCATGTCACACTGCCACCAGAAGGCTCCATTTAACAGAGGGGTGGTGTGTTGCTGGCATCTAGTGGGTAGAGGTGAAGGGCACTGCTAAGCATCCCACCACAGTGCATCAAGTGGCCCAACAGCAAAACATTAACTTGCCCCTGCTGTCCATAGTGCTCAGGTGGAGAGAAACCCKGCTTTAGAGGGACTGATTCCCTAAGGTCCGGTGCTACCCCATCACTCGGCAAAATGCTCTGGGAGCACAGCAGGCTCAAAAGGGGGCATTTTTTGAGTGCTTGAAGGGAGGTCTGGGGGGCCACCTGGGTTGCTGAGGATGTCACCTGCTGGCCTTCTCCCTCTGCCAGCATCTAGGTGCCCGTGGCACAGATGAGTCATTGCCAGCCTTGTTAGATAAGGAGCTCATAGAGGAGGAGGGATCCAAGACAAGACAGAGGCCACCTGTCAGAGATGCCAAGGAGGCGCCCTGCCTCCSGTCTGAGGCTGTCCTTGAATGATTTCCAAACCCTTCAGACCRGAGGCAAAGCCCTGGCTTCCCGTGGGACCAAGGAACTCCCGCTCCAGGCCTCCCCACCTGCCGGCAGAGGTCGGGGCGGGTCAGAGGGGAGAGGGCCTCCTTTCCCAGCCCAGTTGGGTTCATTTAGGTTTCCCTCTCCGGAGCCCCGGGCTGCAGCCCCAGCGGGTGGAGGCGGCAACCAGAGACTGGGCGCCCGCGCTGGGCGCCTCTGCCCGGGCACCGCCCGCTGCCAGGCCCGGCCCCGGGGGCGCGGCCGCCCGGCTTCCGTGTGCCCCAGGGGGCTCCGGGCCGCGAGCCGCCGCCGAATGGCTTTTGACAAAAAACCCTTGACCACCAAGGCCAGCCTCTTCCTGAAAGCCCCGCTCGCTGCGATACAGGAAGTGGAAGGGAGCGAAAGCCCCAGAGCGCGGCGGCGGCGGCGGCTTCCCCACTCGGCGCGGGGCTGGCGGCGGCGCCGGCCGGGGCCCATCCCGAGGGCCAGCGCCAGGGACATGTGGGCACCGGGGCCACCGMGTTCCGCGCCTCGCGGCGCCTGAGCCCTTCCCAGCACCGTGCCCGAGCTGCCGGCGGCATGATCCGACGGGCCGGGGCGCCCGCGCGCGGGGACCCCCAGGGGTAAGTCGGGGCGGGCGCCGCTCTCCCGGGGGGCTGCTCGGCCTCCCCACCCCACTTCTCCGTCCCCGGGAGTCCTCGGGCTCCGAGACCCCGCACCGCGCACTTCGGGCCGTGTGGGAACCCAGCCGCGGCCGAGGCCAGCCCCCGGTTCCTCGGGGAAGGGTGACTCTGCAGCAACCGACGACTTGGCTCAACTTTTCAGCCCGGACACCGGGAGACCAGCACACGCTCGCGGCCGGGCGCCGGGCTTTCTAGGGTTGAGCCTCTATCTGCCAGAGCCGCGGCGCGGGTGTARACGCGGCTGTCCCCTCTGGCTCCTGCCTGGTCTGAACTTTGCGTGCGAGTGTGCGCGGTCAGGGCCCCGCCAGCCTGCAGCACCGCAGCTCCGCCTGAGCCCCGGGGCGCGCCCTTGGTCCTGGGGTCCCTCCGAGCGCGGGATAGGGGGCCCAAGGCCCCCGCAATTTCAGGCGATCCGAAATTTCAGCTGATCCGTTTGCTGGGACAGAGGGCCCACCATGATCCCCTCCCCCGCTGAACTGGCCGGGCCTGGGGCAATGACCTTTGGACGGGACTTTGCCGAGCCTAGTGGTTGGGGAGGGTCCAGGGTGCACCGGGTGGGTATGATCTTGCCGGGCCCTGGAGCGGGGGACACAGCTTTGAGSGCATAAAGCTGAAAGGTTTGGGAACCGACTTCCCAGAGGGCTCCCTAGCGTCTGATTTCACCTCCCCCTCGCCTGCCCCCACCTTGCAATCTCATGCATTAGGGTTGCGCTCCGCAGAGAAACCTGTCGCCCGATCTATCCCAGAGGGCGCCCGGGAAGCTTCAAGTTTGTTAAGGCAGATTCCTGGGAGAGCCTTTTGGAATCTTTTTGGGTGCCATGGTCCATGAGCGCGTCTCGGGGATCCATTCCCTGCTTTGCGGTTTGAAAGTCCCGGGTCTGTTTCATGATGGACACCCTGCTGCTGCCTCCTCTAGCCTTGTGACCTCATCTCCCAGGGCCTCAGTTCTAAGCCCAACAGAAGAGTTGGGCGGATCTTGTGCAGGCGGAGATTGGGGGACAGCTGGAGGTGAGGACCCCTTGGGTGGGAGGGACTGGGAGTGCCTTGGAGGGGTCCTTAATCTCTTCTGGAAGCCTCCCTTCTTCTGAACTCCTTCCCTTCCTCCACTGCAGCCCCAGCCCACAAATTCTGGACCCTGAATGCTTACTTTTCCTTGGAAGCCACCCTGCAAAGACAAATACCATCTTGTGGGAAGGACTGGGGATTCCAATGGGGAAGGGGCCCCCGGAGGCAAGTGTCTGCCACACCCCAGATTGCAGGGTGGAATTGGCCAGGATCTGGGAGGAGGGAGGACAAGTGGCTGGGGCCTGACCTTACCTACTTCCCATTTTTCCCAGGGATGACCTAGCCTGACCCATTTCCTCTTACCTTTCATTGTTCTTCACCTATTCAGTTATTTAGCCTGTCTRTGCTTCAGTATACTTCATGAGACTATGCAGTATTAACTCCTCTTTGCTGTTGTTTTAAGTATTAAATCCAGAGAAATGGTGTAGCACCTTGGCCTATTGGGAAAACCCTCAATAGTTATTGTAATAAAAAGGTGTGATCCTCCTTTTGYTCACTTGGACTAGAGAGCTTGCCTTTCCCTCTCTGTAAATTCAACACCACCTGCTGCATAGGATTGCTTCCTGGACTGGATGAGTTGTATTTAAGCAGCTGCCCACAGGCAGCATGCGTTTATMGTGCCATTTCAGAATGCACCTGCTCAGAGCTCTGCCTGGTCCATCCTAAACACTCTGAGAGTTTTGGTTTGCTGCTAACCATGCGGCTCTATTGCAGAGGATCTTTTGGGTTGGAAGGGTTCATAGGTAGCATCTTCTTTAACCTTGTGCCAGGCAAAGGAATGCCCTTGACAACCTTCTTGAAATGCACTTGCTTAGCTCTAGTGACAGAGGGACAGCCTTTCCAACTGACAGAAGTCTAGGAAACTTGAGCAGTGCAATTTGTTTCGTCTGATTTCTACCCTGTTCTTCTGATAGGAGCCTGATCCTTCTTGACCCTCAGGTACTACAGTGCAGTTTGGGGGTATGACCCCCACATTCATTGCTCCTTATTGGCATACCCCAGACGTTACAGTACCCAAAGATCAGGAGGCAAAGACTCAAAGGCCCTTCCCCCCCAAGCCACTCAAGGTGGTGTCCTGAGTCCTTGGTGGCATGTGTCCTTCCACCCTGCTATTCCAGAGCCCCTCCTTCCTTCTGGGGGAAGGATGCTCAGATAACTAGGGAATGCATCCTGCCTCACCTCCACGGGGCTAGGAAGCTGCCACTTAAGTGTTGGTCCCTGGAGGATCTTTGCAAGTAAACCCTTCCTACTTCTTTTTGAAAACATTGGCTAGGCAGAGAGAAAATGCAGACAGGTTGCCTAGTGCCCTGGGTGCAGGGACTTCCTCTCACCTTTCAGACTCTGCCATTCATTCAATATTCATTTAGCAGTCTGCACTGGGCAGGGCTGGGCCCAGGCTTCAACCATGCCCCTGCCCCTGCAAGGCTGGTGTTCTACCAAGAAGAGACAGAAAGTCAGCCTAGGAGGTGTGGGGAGCCCAGGGGGACATTCTGGACACGTGGGCAGGAGCGGCCACAGCGTGGACAGGACATTTAGCAGAGGCCTTAAAGCAAGAGCAATCCCGGGGGGATGTGGCTGCCTGGGGAGCAGAGAGTCAGGACAGAGGGAGGTGGGGCCCCAGAGGGCCGGAAAGGCTTTGGTGAGTTCTCTGAGTAAGCCAGGGCCACAGGACAGTTTGCACAGAGGGTGACAGACTGTAGGTGGAACGGAAAGAGAAGCGGAGAGACCTGTGACAGGCCTTGAAGGGCCAGGAGAGGCCAGGACGAGGTGGGCAGTGGTGACACAAGACAACAGAGCCTCTGGATTTGCCGATGGATTCCAGGTGACATGGAGGGAAAGAAGAGCCGGGAATGACAGGCGAGGCTGAGATGGCTAAGGGACCGGGGCTTCAGGGCTCAGATGCCCAATGGAGTGGAGAAGTCACCTGAGACGGTCTTCTCTTAGAGGGCATTAGGGCCAGTGGTTTGGGGCTCAGGGGAGACCTGGCTGTCACCCCACGCTGCCCCTCCATGGCGGGCACCAGGTGCGTTTCCACAGGTTTGCTGTTTGAGTGTCTGTGTGAAGTTTCATCTGCAAAAGAACCCGCCTTGGGAAGAAATGTGCCCGTCACAGCCCTAATCCAAGCCCCCAGTGTCACAACCAGGGAATGGAGACCCCRCAGAGAAGAGTGGAACTCAGGTCCAGGCCTGAGATGGTAGAGGGGTCCTGCCGAAGCCCTCCGGAGCCCTCCCATCACTCCAGGCGCCCAGATGGGGCTCTCCCCGGGCAGGGCCAGCCATGATTCAGTCTGAGCCATGGGCTCAGCTCTGCGCCCTGACCTGGGCCTCCTTGCTTTGAAGGTCTGGTGTTCCCACGTGTCCTTCCAGACCCTGAAGGAGACTCTGGCCACAGCCTCGAAGGCTTCTCACCAGCCCTGGCCCCSAGAAGCCCCAGGACCTCCCCCAAGAAGCAGCTGAGAGGACAGGGGAGGCGGGCGGGTCTGCTTGTGATGAGGGGAYCCAGCCTCTCTCCCCCTGAGGCCCTCCTCCCCCGTACCCTGACCCGGGCCTGGAGCCCTATGCAGTGATCGTCACTGAAGCCACAAGTGTTAAAAGCTGAAAATCCCCCCACCCCCTGCAGCCCCAGAATACCTTCCTGTTAAAATCCAGGAGATCCCCAGATCCACAGTGGAGGCCCCCGGGACCTGGTCTCCAGGAAGCAGAAGGAGGCACCAGGAGCCCTCAACCTCCTCCCCTGGAGCTCCGTGTGGCAGACAGGGTCCCAGCCCCGCGGCAGGGCCTCCCGGCCACAGGCCAGAGCAGCGAGGAGTAAGAAATGAGTGACAGATGACCACAGATTCTTCCCTCTGACACTGTCGTGGCTAGTGAGTCATCCCTCTGCGCCTGTCATCTAGACAGTGACAACTGAGGGGGGCAGCCGGCAAGGAGGGAGGGGGAGGGCAGGAGAGAAAGCCCCAGCAAAGGCCCGGAGGTGGGGCAGTGGGGGACAGGGCCGGGCAGGGAGGGCACCTGGGTTGTGGACCCGGAGCTGGGTGACAGGTGGCTTCCCAGAGGGCCTGAYACCAGTCGGCTGGGAAGGAAAAGCTGGCCGGGGAGATGGGTGAGCGCGGCAGGGCATGTGGGGGCCGCCCACAGCAGAGTCCTGGGCACTCTAGGGATGGGGCTCTGTGCCAGAGAGATCCCAGGGAGGGAAGTGACCCAGACAACCCCTTGCCCTCTGGTTTGCCTCCTCTGCCAGCCCCCTGCCCCCTGTTGGGAGGGTCATCTTTAGAAGTGGGGGGCCAYAAATCGTCTTGTTCTTGGGGGCCACTCCATGCTGATCTGGTGGCCAATTCTAGAATGTCTGGTGACGTCCTGTTACCCCAAGCCTGCCACTTGATCTGAGAACCAGGAAATGGCACTGCTCCTGTCCCCAGGGGCATCTGAAATGTGGAGGGTCCCCAAGAGCCACTGAAGGCAAGAGGGGTCACTTCCACGCATGCGCCACACTGCTGGTCCCCACCCGCTCCCTGCAATGAGCCCTTTTGGTGGCAAGGTTCTCGCTGGTGAAGACAGAAGGTGCTCACGCCAGGCAGGGGGAAAGCCTGTCCCCCGAGGTCCCCTGGTCACCCTGAGGTCTTGCTGTCTTATTGAAAGGCCTTTGAGGAGCCCAGTCTAGCTYGAAGCCACACACAGCTCACCTCCTCTGTCCTCCCCAGTGTGTCACCTCACGCCTTTGCCCATGAAGGTCCTGCAGGCCAGGGTGACCTCTGCACTCCTTCTGCCCCTTTTAAAGGGCCCACCTCCTCCGGGAAGCCCTCCACCTGGGCAGGCTCATGGGATTCCTCTTTGGGGAACCTGCATAACTTCTTTGGCATGAAAACCCTTTTTTCCTAG